GGGAGGGTGGGGGTCCCCGAGGCTTTTCCAGCCGCCTCCACTACTATTGTCATCGATGGTGGAGCCCAGAAAAGCACACAAAGGCGCAGGTGCTGGACCTGGTTGTTCTGGAGCACTTCCTGGCCCTTCTGCCCCTGCAGATGGAGAGCTGGGTGCGGGAGTGCGGAGTAGAGACCAGCTCCCAGGCAGTGGCCCTGGCAGAAGGCTTCCTCCTGAGCCAGACAGAGGAGCAGAAGGAGCAGGTCGAGGTGCAAGTGGGAGACCTTCATTTTGGGAGCGCAGAAGGGGTCTGAATGGAATAAACCATGCATTTGAATTCTTAACCCCTCCCCACCAGAGTTCTCTAGCATTCCTAATATGTGGAGATGTTTCAATGGTTCTTGTAGGACATTGTTCCGTTATCCATTCTAGAATATAGATTTGAGATAGCTGTTCCTTTCTCACTTTCCAGCCTCCCTGATGGACACTGGGGGCTTTGAAGTTGTGTTCAGAGAACAAGAATCCACCTCATGTTATTTGATGCCTGTTAATTCTTCTTCTTTTCTCCTGCCTCCTATTTCAAGTCCTTCACTGTGGACATCAGAGATCCTGACGGACGGAGGAATCCCTCCAGTCCCCCTCACAAGCTGTCTTTCAGCAGGATCTCTCAGGAAGATCCAAGTCATGACACCTCAGGAGGTAATTGAAGGCCGTCCCATTCCCCAGAGAGATCCCAGCTGTCTCATCCTCTCTATGTCTTCTCTTCTCTAGAATGCCTCCTCCTATTTTGTTAATTCTGCACTTTAATATTCTCTCTCCCTCACAGGAAAGACTCAAACAAAGTTGTCTGCCCTTTCTAGTGGAACTGAAAAAGTGGCTGAACCTGCAGCTCAAGTAAGAGGAGGAAATTTATCTATTAGATTGTATTCTCCCGTTCCTTCAGGAAGTCAAGCTGGTGCAGATAGCACTCTCTCCTTCCATTTTTCCACCTTTTTTGGGCTTGGGTGTTTTCTTGTCCTTGAGCAACATGGAATGTGGAATAGCAGATTCAAGTTGCTCTCAGTCGGCTTAGCCTCCCCTGAAGTCTGTGGTTGGGATAAAGTGGTTTGTAATTTCTCCCCTGAGATTCTTATTAGGAAATCTTTTTTAAAAAAAACAGTACTTAACTCTCCTTCTGCTAATTACTCTTCCTACTATTACTTTATAATAATTTATTTAAAACTTTCTGAAGAGATAGGAATAATATTATTACAGTCATATCAAATGCTAAATATTTCTTCAGTCAAAAGCTTTTGGCTCTTTCCATTTTCTCACCTAAACCTTGGAATCCCACCAAGTGTTGCCATTTAACTTAGTGCATATCTTTGCTTTGGGAATTCGTGAAGAATAGGACAGATCTTGCAAATCCTCCTCGCCTGTTCTGTTCTGTTCTGCTCTGCTCTGCTCTGTTCTTTTCTTTTTTTCCTTGTTCAGGAGGGTCTTGTGTCCTTCGAGGAGGTGGCTGTGTATTTCTCCGAGGAGGAGCAGTCTCAGCTGGATCCTCACCAAAAAGCGCTGCATTGGGAAGTCATGCTGGAAAATTATCGCAACGTGGTCTCTCTGGGTAAGGGTTTGCTTCTCCCCCACCAGAGAGTTTGGAAAGACATTTTGTAGTTAGATGCCATCAGCTACATCTTATTAAAAAAATCGCCAACCAGATGTCAACTCTTGGGAGGGAAAAGGAAAAGATCTGGCCTTCTCCTGCTCCGAGGAAGGAAGCATGTCAGTGGCTCTCTGCTTACATGCATTTCTTATCTGGTGAATTTTTCAATTTCTATTTAAAGGTATCATTGAGATGTTGAGCAGAGTACAGCAGTGCGCCCAGAAACCCTTTGCCCAGGATAAAAACACACAACAGCATGATAGGTTTGCAAACTGCAATGTCCATATCCTGTTCTCCAAAGAAACTCAG